TGTTCAAACAACTCAAGGTCCTTGTGAAAATTCGGATGTTCCTCGCTCGCAAACACGACACTCTCCACCAGGCTGTTCGAACACGCAAATTCAGAAGTATCAGCTGCGCAAAACCCAATGTACACTTCTCGCAAATGCTTGTCCTTGAGCGCTCTGAGCGCGAAGCAGTGGATATCAGATATCGTATGGAGATGCTTGAGCTTCTCCTCCAGCTGATCCTGAAAACCTTTCAAGATGCGCGTCCAACCTTCGGGAGTCCTTCCTTGCGGCCGTTCTCTCTGAAAGAGCTGCTCCAGATAAAGTTCTCTGAGCCGCTGACGCAGGGCGTCGGCCGAGGCTTCTGTTGCTGCCGTGTTTGCTGCACAATCTAGAAGTACGCTGGTCCACTCAGGCACACGGAACCAGCTCCGCTACCATGAACGAATGCACGATCTTTTCCAAACACTCTAGAGCCTGAAAGTCGCGGTGCGGTCCATATAATCACATGTGTTCTCATGCCACACATGATCAGTAAAACACTACAAAATCGCCAAGGAAAATGGGGTATGCTCATATGTGTCAAAAGTCAACACAATAACAACAAGACTTTGAATCAAATTCTTGTCATTTCTGTTTGAGAAGGCACGTGGAGAAAAAGCATAAAGCACAATGGGCTTAAATGCTGTCACGACACAGACTCGAGTGTGCATTGCCTTGTCCATGGATCGGCGACAAACAGCAGGCAAGGTCCAAGCTCAACGGCATCAGAATTTTGACTTCAGATGTGAGTGTTCGAAGTTCGCGCCACACAAGATCTGCATTTTTTTGACCGAAAGAGCTTTTTTGGCGTGAGCGGGCCTCGTCGACTTCGGCTGTAGCACTCAGTCCCTACAAACGAGACAAACAAACCAAATCAAAAGACAGCGGTGAAACAGGAGGTCCTAGAAGTAAGGCCAAAAAGCTAGCTGCGGCGCACAGGCTTTGCCGGTGTTGGCCGTTCAGCACGAGCTACGGGGCCTCAGCGACCGATCAACAGCAGAAGGCTGTCGCCCAAAGCTGTCCAAGACTCCAAGACCACCAGTGGGCCGAAAGAGCAAAACGCGATTGGACTTTTCTGGTTTGGTTCGATGTCTGTCTGCTTGAGTGCCAAAAACAAGCTCACATATTTGTGCATGCAGAAGCGGCATCTACGTTCACAAATCTCCATAATTTGGCTTTCGCAAATATAAATTTTGCATTTCAGATACTGTGGAAGCAATCTGCACAAATTTACGAGATCTGGAAAGGATTCCAGCTTGTCAATTCCGAAGCCATTCGTTCAAGCTGACATTCTCTTTGGGGTTTGCTTGCGGGTCGGCCATTCCACAGTACCTGCGATCAGCCTGTGCCTGGTTCACTCTAGGGTCGCCCTCTGGATGTCACACTCCTCCTTGCGATGGTGGCAAGCTCCAATTTGGTCGTGGTCGCCGCGTGGGCCACGAGCAGGCTTTCCGACGCCGCAACCGAGCACTCCAGTCTCCACCGATAAGAATGTTGCTCGCGAGATGGCGCGCAACGAACACGTGCCCGTGAACAAAAAGGCCAGGGATGTTCACCTCCAGACAAATAGCATTCATTTTTTTTGGCTTGACTGGGCCTCGTCGACTACGGCTGTAGCACTCGGTCCCTACAAACAAGCGAAACAAACACAAACTACAAAACTACAAACTACAAACTGGCAAAGCGGTGAAACAGTTGGCGAAGCTCTACAAGGGGCTGCGGCGCACAGGCTTTGCCGGTGTTAGCCGTTCAGCAAAATCTACGGAGCCTCAGCGACCGGTCCGGAGCAACAAAGAGCCGTCGCTCTGAGCTGCCCAAAACAACAGGTGGAGCCAAGACCAGGCTCCGGCAGCCGTTCTAGTCTCGCCAGACAACGGACAGCCCCTGTGTTTTGTTCCGTCGCGATCGTGCACACCAAAATCCAAAAGTCCAAAACCCACTGCAACATGAGCGGCTTCCAGACAGGAGCGCGATGGCCAGAGTCGCAGGGAAGCAACTCACAACCAGCCGGCGACGCATACACCATCCAAGGACGAACCGATCACTCCTCGGCGTGCTGAGCGCGAGGGCGTCGCGAGTACCGGCAACCAGCGACCACAAGTCGCCTGTCATAGCACGGATGGGCCGGACAAGTGACGTAGACCGTGGGGGCCAAGTGTTGTGTGCCACCCTAGAACATCACAAGCCAGGGGCCGCCACAAAGGCAAGAGTGACCGGGGTCACCCATTACGAAAGTACACACCGGTCAGAGTTGACTCAGTTGGTGCCTATCGCTCAAACCGGACGTGGCGGGAGGGTGGAGAGAACCTAACGACGTATGTCGTCGGTTGCAACGGCTTCCACAGGAAAGCGGCCTCAGCCAGATATGACCCGGCTTGCCGCAAGGGTCCGTCACAACCAGGCCTCCCAACTCATTGCCCAGTGCACTGGTAACAGAGCCTGCACCTGTGGTGTCCAGGGAACAATTGCGGCGCGCCGCCACCTCAGCGCGCGCGAGCCAGGCACCTCCCCGCAGGCAATCCAGTGACCATGTTCATCCATTTCGAGCGTGCACACCGGACCCAGGTTAATCACAAGTGGTGGTGCATAGCGTCAGCGGGGGCGGCATGGAGGGCGAAGAGAACCTCAACGACGTATGTCGTCGGTTGCAATGCATCCACGAGGAGAGCGACTCAGCCAAAGGGAAGCGACTTGCCGCCAGAGGCCAACCAAACCACCCAAGTCCAATTGCCAGGTGTGCTGGCGACCGAGCCTGCACTATCGGTGTCCGAGTCGGCATAGTGGCAAGGGCCGCCACCCACACAGTTGTGCCCAGCTTCCACGTGGGCCATGCAGCCCATGCGGAAGACTCAAGGAAAGCATCGACACAACGACGTATGTCGTCAGTCCCACGGACGGCCATTGTGGAGGTCACCTAGATGAGCCAGCCGCCGCACCACGCGGCCAGCTGTCGAGCAGGCGTTGCATGTCACGACCACTCGAAGGAAAGTGACTCTCCTTTAGGAGATAGAGCATTTGGTAGTTTCTCTCATTGTAGATTTCTCTCACCCTTGTATATGTATACTGATGATCGTCATGGTCGTCGCCATGAAGATGTGGCATTAAATCGGTGGATATACAAGGAAATTGGAGGCCAGGGCCGAGGCCCCCATCCCTGAGGAACTCCTCCGCCGCAGCCTTCCAGCGTTCCTGCGCCTGGGGATGCCCCAACCTGAACCAGGGGCGCTCACCATTCGGCAGCCTTTGCGCCTGGTTCTCCTCTCGGGCGATCAACCGATGGAGGAGGACCATCGCTTTTTCATCGACTGCATCGAAATGTGCGAAGCGCCACAAGCGGGTGGGCTTCTTTTGTGGCCCGCGGATCCAATAAGCAACGACCGCTCGAAGATCCCAGCCCTCGGAGGTGGCCGCGGCTCGAAGACGCCACAGGGCGCTATTCAGCAGGCCCGCGGCCTGAATCGAGAGAGAAGGCTGTGCCTGCAAACCCAGTGAGATGTCCGCAAGCGGGAAGAGCAGGCGAAAAGTGCCCCTATATGTGCCCGGATACGTGAACATTCGCGGGTCAAACTCGCCGCGTCTGGCCGGGAGGATTCCACTCTCGAAGCCCGCCAGCAGTCGGTCAGCAATGGTAATCTGGGGTCGGCCCACCAGGGCAGCCGGAACCTTGCATGTGACTCGCACCTCAATGTGCTGACCGTCACGAGTTGGAGTAACGTTGGTGAACTGCAGAAGTGGAGCGGCCAATGGGTCGTCAGCAAATGCCCGTGTGAGATAAAGCAGCAGCTGTACAGGCAGCAACACACCACAGTGTAGCAGTGGGGTCCCCTGTGTCGCTTCAACACTCGTGCCGCCTCCCCCAGTAGTGCGCCGCTGGCTGGAACCGGCGCCGCGTCGGCTGCCTGTCTGCAAAGGTTCTCGGGGGACGGTGGATTCACGCTTGGGGGCTAAGGACATTTGCACCAAGCTGCCGTCCCGGACTGGAGATTTCCTTAATATCTTGAGCATAAACGGCTGCCGATTTAGGGATCACACTTGAAGGCCCTGAAGGCTTGGTAGCTTGGCTTGCGACGCTTCACACTCAAGAGAAACACGACACACACAGCACTCCTGAAAGCTTCTGTCGTTTTTCACCAGCGGTGACAAGGGGTACCTTGGTGCAATGAGGCATTTAGCCTCAAACCTGCAGCTACGGATGGCGGAACGGTCATCGCCTGGCGGAACAAACATCGCCTGCAAAAGGATATGTAAACCGATATCAAGAATTCTCCCCGAGAACGCATTATGAGCGAAGCACTCGCGGTCGCGCTGACCGGATCGGCAGGGGTGTGCAGAGGGATTAGATTCACGCATGCGGCACTCGGCTGCAGGTGGCGTCACTCGCCGCAAGGTCTGAGATGCAAGTGGTGTGGGCGGGCGGGGAGAGAAAAATTTCTGCAACCTTACATGTGCAAGACTTGTGGCTTGTTCAGTGAAGTTCTAGCATAGTGTCGTCACTGACGTTTATGCACAACCGGCTTCGAGATGCCTTGAGATGACGAGCGCGGGTGACAAGAAGATGCAATATAGCACCACTTGGCGCTCACACCAACAGAAAACTCTTGGCAGCCATTTTCTTTAAAAATCCAGGCCCGATTTTTCAAGAAAATTCAAGCTCAAGATATTAAGGGACTATCAGCGCACGCACTGACGGCCTCCTTAATATCTTGAGCATAGACGGCTGCCGATTTAGGGATCACACTTGAAGGCTTGGTAGCTTGGCTTGCGACGCTTCACACTCAAGAGAAACACGACACACACAGCACTCCTGAAAGCTTCTGTCGTTTTTCACCAGCGGTGACAAGGGGTACCTTGGTGCAATGAGGCATTTAGCCTCAAACCTGCAGCTACGGATGGCGGAACGGTCATCGCCTGGCGGAACAAACATCGCCTGCAAAAGGATATGTAAACCGATATCAAGAATTCTCCCCTTCTTATCCGTTGTATTACTTGACTAAGATGCCCAAGACTTCGGACACGATGTTCTCGCACGGGAAGTGAGGGACGGGGCAACCTGACACGGTGAAGCTTTTCAGCACTTCACGCGAAGGCGTGTCTGCTATGTTTGCTGGTGACGGAACACGAGCGAACCACGAAAAGGTCTTGGCTAAGGATTCCACTGTTAAAAGAAGTGATGCAAGCGATTTGCCTACATCATTCCGTGATGTGCCACTGATTGACACGTCTCTAGCGGAGTTATTATCCACATAAATCACAGCAGGTTTTCCCCTAAGCCAATCTTTCCACAGGACATAAGCGATCACGATTGTTGCAAGTTCCGCCTCGAAGATGATGGTCTTGGACCTTCCCTCTCCTAGTAGACGCTTCTGAAAACCAGACAACTCTTCGGAGAAAAATCCAAGGGGATGGCCTTTGTGGTCAAAGCAGACTCCACCTATGCCGCAGAAAGTACCTCCACTCACCTCGGAATACGAAGCATCAGTGAAGATATACACTGGATCTGCCGACACATCTCTCAGCACGCGCGGCCAGTTGGCTTCAAGCAGGTCGGCAAACTGAAGCATAGCTTGCTTTGCGTCGTTGCTAAGGTTTGCTTTGGTCGAGCAACTTTCACCAGCTAGGGCGGCCACGCATAACCGGCCGGCTCTTCCGAAGAGCTGGCCTGCGAAGACCATGCGACCCCGAATGCGCGACAGGTCCTTCTGGGTGAGGGCTGGATCATCAGCTGCATGGCGCAGCGTGGCTGAAACCTCCAAGATGCGCTTTTCCGTATTATGGAACAGGACCTCCCCTTGCAAAAATCGTTCGAAACTAACCCGTACCCCAAGCGCAGCAAAACTCTCAGCAAAGGGTTTGTCTTTGTCCTCCGAGACTTTCCAACCTAGCAACCTGAACAATGAAGATATTGCCAGGTCGACTGCTTTGGCTTCGATCTGAGTCGCCAGACTTAAAAAGTCGTCGAAGAAGTGCGACCAAATCAACTTCAGTGCCCAGCACCCAATGTACCACATAGAGTGCGCCACTCGCAAATAGGAGAACACCGCTCTGGTCGCCCCGAACGGGAGCGCAAGCATTTGCCTTACGATCACTCTGCGTTCGCGGTGGCTGAAGTATGCAATGTAAGCTTCCTTGAGGTCGTCTGGAGACACAAACATTTGTCTGTAGGCGCTCTTTAAGTCGAACGTTTTCCCTAGCATGGGAGTCCCAGGCAGCTGTCTGAGACAAGCCAAGGCCATGGCGGCCACCCCGTCAAGGGATTGAGGTTTGGGGCTCTCGGTGGTTTGGACAGACCCATTAACACCACTATCACTCAGGTCATCTATCAAGCGAATCTTACCTGACTGCTCGATCGCAAACCTCCTGCTGATTGTGGCGTCTTCCGGCAAATCGGCCGGGTCTATCGGCTCGGACAACCAGCCAAGCTCCACTTCTTCGTCGACCTTTTGTTCTAGCGCTTCATCCAGGTGACCCTGCGATTTGATCGCATCGAGGATCTTCTGGCGGGACTCGCTAGCTTTGGAGCGCAGCTGTTCTGAAGTCCTTTTTGCTGGCTTAAAGGCCCCCGGAAAGACCCCGGTGCAAGGGGTCTGACCTGTCAAGTGCACTCCTTCAAGCATTTCGTCTAGCACTCCAACATCAGGATACTTGAGATCCTCTAGGATCTCACGCCACAATAAAATCCTTTTTGGTAGGACGATTTTCCTGGCGTACTCGGGGAGAGAGCTCTTAAGCTTCTTTTCGTCCCCCGAGAGTTCTGCTGCACGTTTGGTCCACTTTGCAAACCATTCGGCTCTGAGGCCGGCTCTATCGGCCGGCGTTGTTTTTGCATTTACATCTATGCTGTGGCTCAGCGCGGAAGGCAGTAGCGAGTCGAACCTTTTGGGATGTCCCGCTTGAACCGCTTTATGTATGAACTCTTCTGGAGACCAAGATATGCCCCAAGCCAATTCAAGTCGATCACTTCCCTTCTTATCCGCTCGGAGTAATTGACTGTGGGCTGGCACGGGCCCAGCAGGCTCGAAGCGCGAGTCAGACCACGGCTTGGGCAGTCGGGCGCGAAGGGTCGGCAAGGAAGTGGAATCACTCGGCCCGGTCATGACAAGCACGGCTTTGTGCTCGGGGACAAGAGGCGGCACAGCAGAAGCCTTGGGTTGAAGGCCGGAAGTGGCCCTCATGGCTGCAAGGGAGGGCTCGGCTTCGGGTAGGAAAGTAACGGCTCGAGCGAAGCATTGAGCGATGGCTGTGGCCAGCTGCGGCGGGTAAGCGCTTTCGGTGGCGGTGGCAAAGGAGCCGTCCTCAGAACGACCCCAGGGCAAGTGTTGGGCAGCACAGGCACCGCCGGGGCAGACACGATGCAAAGCATGGAAGGCTTGGTGGTTGTGGCAAAGGCGAGTCCACTTGGGCCGGCGACCGCCAAAGGCACAGTGTGGAAAATCAGTATGCATAGGACAAAAGGAGGCCGCAGCCTTCCAGAAGCTGGTCGACCAATAAAGACTACTGCGCGGATTTTCCACAGCAATGATGAGGTTGCGGCGATGGGCCTCAGCACAGATGGTAGACGCAAAGTGGTACAGCTGATTGGCCTTGTTGACGCGCACCAGGTTGAGACCGGACAGATGGGGCAGCCCGTCAGGGAAAGTTAGTGATCGCAGCGGGGCGGGAGAAGGCCCAGGGAGTGCAATCTCCCGGGCACGAGAGCTGGTGCCGCACGGTGGAGCGATGAAGACACCCACAACATGAGGGCTGGAAAGCCACATCATTGTCAAACTCTGGCCCTCTTGCGTAGTCAAATCGGCCAACAGCACAGGACAGGCAGCATGATCCACGACCACGTGATCAACACCTTGGGCCCCGACGAAGCCACAGCGACGCAAGGCTGCGGTCACACGAGCTGTACCCGCAAAAACTTCAAGGACCACTGGGAATCGCGAGGCGATGCTTGGGCGCAAAGGGAGGAGCTCTCCAGTAGACAGGCTTGGCAGGCGAAAGGCAGTGTGCTGCAGAAGCTGGCGGTGCTGAGCATCCAATTTGTGGAAATCATTGATTACGAAAGCGGCTAGCACAGTGCGATTACCTGTCCACGGGCACGTCGCATGTAGCTGGTGCGCATCGAACTGGATCGGCTCATGCAGTTGCAGAACATGTCCCTTGGCATCTGGATGCCCCGGGTCGGGACAGACCTCCTCGCCAGCTCCCTCGATCCAAAGGCCACCGGCCTCAAACTTACTAAGCGGAATCAAAGCATTGGGAAAACCCAAATGATTGTTGAGGTCTTGGTGCGCGGGGGTGAGGGTGTTAACTAAAACCACGATGGAGGTAAACTCCAATTGTGGGAATGTATTTGAAACAAAGCTCGCCAAGACTTTAGACGAAAGTGGAAAATGATTGAGGTTGTGTCGTAGGCCGACTATGCCGCCATGCACATAAGCTCCGGTAGCCCAACTAAACTCACCAGGGAAGCGAGGTGATTCGGGTTGCAGAAAAGAGACCAAGCCCAACACATCCTCAGCACACAAGGCACCGCGGGAAAGCAGGGTTTGGGCGTACTGTTCACAAGGAGGGGATACAGGATTGCATGCATCAGCCAGGTCTCCAGTTGCAACAAGAGGCGAGGCAGGCTCAGACAAGTGTGAATCACGATGCAAAACTGCTTCAGAGGAGATCGAAGGCGCTCAAGCGCCGGCGGCAGCACACTTGCGGATCGAGTGCGGCTGGAAACACCTGGCACATACATGTTGGTGGGGGCAGTCAGTGCGCTTGCACTCCTTCAAGTTGAATGCATAACAGATGCTCTTACCCTCAGGTGTGGTGGCATTTGCCTTCAGGTCAACAAGCTCCTTGGGCATCGCAGGACCACCTTTGGCACCTTTGCCTCGGCCTTTGCCTTTGGGGAGCTTCGTAGGAGGATCGGGGGTTGAAGGCCGAGAGGGATGGCGCTTGCGGTTATTCTTGAAAGGGTACTTGCCTTGGGGAGCCTGGTGCATGAGGGCAATGGACACCTCATAGGATTCCAAAGCGCGGTGCATCTCTTTATCAAGGGGATACTCGCCTGCGGTATCCTTCCTTGGTTTGACACCCCACTCGGCCAGCAGTGCAAACACCTGCTTGTCAGCGTTAACCAATTGTGTCACATTCACGCGATTGAGCCCTGGCGGCGGGTCGCGGGACAGGTGGTTAAAGAGACGATTCACATACCGATCGTAGGCATCATATGAAATCATCTGTGCAAACACCATGGCCAAACCTCGACGCCGAAGGGCCTCCATGGTCTGGAGCGCATTGACCGGTTGATACTCAACGGCATCAGTGTCACTCTTAAGAACTATCTTGGAGGCTTCGACCTGCAGCGCCTGATGGGTCGGTCGGGGATTCGTGAGTTCATGGGTGCGGCTCGTGGCTTTCTCAGGCGGGATGTACTTGAGTAAGTTGTCTCGCTCCTGCTGACAACATGAATCTAGCAGGGCATTGCTTGGCATATTCACGCCCTCCAGCGTGATGCCTGGGAGGGCCGCCCTAAGATCGTTCAGTCTTCGGTCGCGCTCAGCCTCGGGAACACGACGAGGGGCAGATGATTGAGACCCGGATACTTGGTCGCGCAACTCAGCAACAACCAGAGTCTGGGACTCGAACACGAGCCTTTTCAAGCATGATTGATCACCCAGAGTCATACCTGCAGCATTGTCGACAACCCAATCTCTGAATATGGGTTCCGTGACTGGCTCACCTGGCGACGTGATCGTGTACGCCGCCTTGCCTACAGAAGTAATGCCAAGGGCCTGAAGGATGGTCCACCCTGCACTGCTGAGGCCGACCTCATCCGCACGCCTTTTAAAGTGTGCACCGCTATCAATTAACGAGGACATGGCGAGCAAAAGGAGCTTCGGACAGTCCACTGTGCACGTCAAAACTCCGAGGTACCTGAACAGCTGCTGAAAGTAATGTAAAGCATCACACGGTCGGGAGATAAAGCGAGAAGAACACAACATGAACTTCATGACATGGTCAAAACATGTTTTATCCTCGGCCAAACCTGCAGTAACTCAAATGTTCGCATTGCACTCACATAACTGCATGTCTAACAGAGTCTGATTCAGCACACTGCCGCGCTTCACTGTCACTGGCAACAACATGTCCCAATGCAGACGATCACTCTTTACCTGGACTCGAATCGCAATCGAAGACCTTCTAGGTCCTGGCACTTCGCCCTTCGCCAAAAAGGCGGAAAGTCGGCATCTAGCCTTCAGCGCTTCCCAATGCGCACACAAGCGCGGCACCTCCGAAAACTCATATGTGCTTGCGCTGCTTGAACCATGACCTCTGAGGTCCGTCCGCATGTGGCGATTAGGTTTCCACCTCCAGACACAAATTTCAGGAGGTGAAGGGTCCTGGTCCTGGAATTGGCCACACAGTCGGCGGCATCCCACTGCTCGATTTCCAGGCGGGGCGCTTTGAGAGGCGCAATTGACTCGGACGATGAGTCGGAGTCGTCTTGTGACTCGGAATCGCTGCTTTCGCTGCTACTTGAAGAATGATGCCCCTCGGACTCAGCCCGCTCGGACGCTGAATCATTGATGATTTCAACCTTCGCCTCGACAGCTGCCTTGAACTCGGGTGCTTGTGGCACCACGGTTGGTGCTGGGGGATCTGTAAAGTACAAGGCTCGGGCAGCATCCGGGTGGAACGATCCTGCGGCCACTGCTTGGCACATAGGCTCAAGGGCCCTAACAGCTTTCAAGGCTTCCTCCTTGGCGTAGACGGGCACGCTTCCTTTGACACACTTACTGTGACGCCCAAGCAAAGCCAAAATCCCGTCATCAAGACAAAACTTGGAGCCCCAATCAAGCAGGGTTCTCTTCAACGAGTGAGACGTGACCATTGACACATCTGACCCAGCCCGCTCGCCGCTCAAGGACCATTTTCAACAGGCTTCGTCGACCTGGGGCAGCACCACCGGGCCTAAAGGGCCTGAAGAGGCCCGCGCCGACAGTCCCATCCAAGGTGAGGCCCACGCGCTCAAATACATCAGTAGCTAATCCCAGCCAATCGCCGTTCACGATGCCCTTGCTTGAAACGATAACAGGCAACAAATCATTCTTCTTTGCAATAGTCTGTGCCGTCTTATGGAATCTGAGGCGGATCTCCAGGTATCCGCTGCACTGGCGATCAAAGTCTGCTATCACTTCTTCCACAAGAACCAAATCGCTGTGTCTGGCTCTTGCGTAGAGTGCAAGAAGAAGGTAGGCACAGATGGCTCGGTCCCAGATTGGTGCACTCTCGTCCTCTAGCACGCCGTGCATGAAGCGCACCTCTGACACCTTGAGAGGCCGGGCTCGGTTGGTCGCTTTCTTTTTGACACCCAGCTGGGCACTGAGGCCCAGAATCCTACGGCTCGCAAGAACCTCGGACACACTCAGCCCCAGAACGAAGTTCGCAAAACGCAAAGCTGAAATGAGGGAGGCTGCACGGGTCGGAGCTGCCTTCTCTTTCTTCAAGTAAGAAATGAAGCTCCACACAGAATCCTCACAAAATGGCTTCTCGTAACCTTCCTTGTCACACCATCTCAAGTATGCAAGGATCGCGTTGGCACGCTTCACAACCGTGTGAGGACTACGAAGACCTACACAAGCTGACACGATGCCAAACACTTCGTCTCTTGCATTTTTGGAAGAGGCTGCTTGTGCAAGTTCGGGCGACAAACGATCAACATCGGTGCGGCAAATGACATGCTGCAGTTTGCACACCGCTCGGTCCATGACCATATCGCGCTCGTCGCTGGGATGTACATCCTTGAAGGATTTGAATGCCCTGCTCGCGATGTCAGCTGAAGGCACGGGAGGCTCAGGGATCTTTGGCTCCGCCGACGGCACATGTGCTGGGACTAAGGGGCCAGGCATCTTAAGCACCAGGTTATCAAAGGGATTAGTTAAGCCCTCATCCCCAAAGATGGCTCTGAAGACTCCTCTCTCCCAAGGCAGGGCAGGAGATGCCACGGCAGTACGCGAGCGTTCATCGCCCACAGCACGAGCAATCCTACCAGGACGCACCTCTTCTTCAAAGTCCCTTTTGCTGGCACTCGGCACCAATGAAAAATGCGACTCACTTATGTCTGTCGGGTTTGAGCCGAAGTTTGAGCCGAAGTGGAACCCTGAAGCTAAACCGAAGTAACCACGTGAAGTGAAGCGCAGCAAAAGGTAAAGAGTGTCGAACTTCAAGAACTCGGACTTTTGGGCAGTGTGTGAAGACTGGTCTGTCGCGAACTGGTGAAAGCCTCTGTTGCCCTTTCCTCCTGGGTGGAGTGGGCGGGTACACGAAAAGCTACAGCTCCTTGAGAGTACTGCATCGGAATGAAGACGACATTCGCAAGCCATCAAGAGTCTTGCCAGGCTGATTCCAAACTCATCTCGCAAAAGAAGAAAGTCTCAGAAAATCTTCGTGAAAATTCTCATGTCAAGAAAAACCCATCGCCGACAGCAGAGCATTCAGAAAGTCCCACCCAGGCCCGCCCCCCGGCACAAACCCCATCAGACATACTCTAGGTCCGGGGACCGAATAGCATGTCTGTCGGGTTTGAGCCGAAGTTTGAGCCGAAGTGGAACCCTGAAGCTAAACCGAAGTAACCACGTGAAGTGAAGCGCAGCAAAAGGTAAAGAGTGTCGAACTTCAAGAACTCGGACTTTTGGGCAGTGTGTGAAGACTGGTCTGTCGCGAACTGGTGAAAGCCTCTGTTGCCCTTTCCTCCCGACTTTAGAGCAACAGGAAGTGATCACCAGCTCGTCTTGTCCTCAGTTCGTTGCCGCTTGCTGACCTTCTCGCCCTGGACGTACTTTCCAGCAAGTGAAGCTCGAGATTCTTCGAATGAAGCGCGAGCAGCCACCAACATATCAAGTAAAGAAAAATCCAGCTCGGCCATCTCGAAAGGTAACCGCTTGGATATCGTGAACTTCTCGAAATGAAAATTTGTAAGATCATCAGCTTCCACATTCTCCTCGCGGGGCCGCCACTGTAAGCGACAAATCTTACCACAAGAGTGAAGTCGAGAAACCATCTGCATGTGGACCGCCTGCACAGGCCACTTGTTGCTCAAACCCTTTTCTTGAATCGCAGGTGTGGAACGGTTGTCGGTTCCAGCAGATACAACAACCCTAATGTTGTCGCGAGCCTCGCTTGCTTCAAGATGTCCGAACACTTGCAAAGCAGCGTAAGATGCAAGGAGTTCCGCCGTAGTCGAAGCCCACTGGCTTGAGCCGTCAGCCTTGAAAAGCCAAGGAGCCTGTTCAGGCAGAACTTCAAGCGCGAACCATGGAGCATCCTGAGAGCGAAGCCCATTCTGCAAAGACCAGCCCGCGATCACAACTCTTCCAGTTTCGCATTTCGCGTCAGTGCGGAAGGCTTGACGAGGATTGGGCCATGTTTGCAGGACACTCTCCAAGCGTGAACCCTTCCGTAGCTCGCTGCGAATAAAAGTGAGTGCAATGCAAACCATAGCCGGAGCCCTTGCCACCGTCCCTCTATTCAAGACTGACTGGAAAGCGAAGAGTGGGGCCAAGAAGGGGCGCATCCACAACAGCAACCTTGCCACAAAGTTGAGACGACCTGTCAGCTCGCTTAAGCGCCTGCCGGCCACCATCCAGCCCCCAGCTTCGCAGTCATCAATCCAGCCGATGATCCAGCCTGCTCGACGCTCTGATATTCCTGCCGACCAGCCTTTGTAAGCGATATGGTAGCCAATGAAATCCACAGTGATGCCACCCTTGAACTTAGCGTACGAGAAAGGTGTTCCAAGTACCTCATACGCCAAGAGGGCCAACCAGAGGTTATGAAACTTCCTCTCGCCAGCCTGCACCAGATGAAGGTTGTCAACGTACACAAGCTGCATGAGCCAAGCAATCCCCATCAGGCGGATGACCCAACGTCCTGCGCATCCGAATAATCTCGCCCACCAATAGGCGGACGAGCTTATCCCGAATGTACAAACTGTATTGAGCCAGAGAACGCGTGATGAAGATGAACTTCTGCAGCCCAATCTTCCCCAGTCGCGACGTCGTACTTTAGCTCTCCGGTGTGCTTGACTTATGTCCGCGCTAAGTGCAAAGACAGCTTCCTGATTCTCAGCCGCCACAGCTGTGGCTTCGGTGATTTCATTTGGCCCCGGCACATGCAAAGCATCAAGAATACGAATACGATTGTTCAAGCCAATGCCATGAGTCCCGTCGTGAAGAGGGCGAATATCGCCGTTCGGTTTCTTGATCGCTCCCATAGCTGCTATGAGAACTCCATCCTCGCCGAACTCCCGCTTGGCCTCCGCTTCAGTTGTGCAAATCATCAAGCCTTTGGCCTCATCCTCTCGGAAATGTGCCTCAAGCTGTTCAGCCGAAAGTTCAGCCGATTCGTAGTTCTGCATAACCGCCTGAAAAGGTGTCTCGTCCAATTTGCGATATCGGACCCGAGGCTGGAACACCTGAGGAGTGCGAGGCAGTGGCTTGTCCCAGCCAATCGGCACTCCCTCAGCAAATGACTCATCGCCCTGAACAAGGATGGCATGATCAGGATCGCCCATCAGTTCCAAAGACTGTGCCATCAAGTAAAGATAGAATGGTTGCCTCTCGGGGCAGCACATAGCCTGCTGAGGATCCGGCAACAGACCAGCGATCCTGCTCCTTGCTGCGTGCAACGCAGATGATGAGAAAGGAGATTCCTTCAACTGCCCGGCTGCGAGTTTGAAAGACATCAGCCTCACATCCTGAATCTCCTCGTGCACAACTTGGTTAAGGATATTACGGATACTCTCGCAGTGCTCCAACTCTGTAGCAGATGCCGTCCGGTTCCGAGCCTGAGGTTTCCACCGCCCGGGAGAGCACAAACCGAAACCATCATTGAATGCCGGCTTGGCTGGATCATGCCGGCATACCAGAGGTGGCCCAAAGCATCTGCTAGTCGCTGGATCAAAAGACTCAGCCTCATCTTTCTGCACCGATGTTGTGGCCTTCTCTTCTCCTTCACCTTCGCTCGATATTTCGACAAGCTCATGCGCTGAACCGAAACCCAAGGCTCCTAACGGCTCGCACGACACGGGGAGAGCGGGTGCCACCGAAAGAACCGGGGCCCCAGGAGTGGTCCCTTCCTGGGGGGTGCCTAGTCGAGCCGAAACCCCTGAAGACACTACCTCGGGAGAAGAAAAGGCTACCTTGTGTGGGGAAACTACCTTTCTCAAAGTTTTTACCTCACTCGAAGATACTACCTCACCAGGCACCGTTCGGGCTGTTGGTTTTGAAGCCTTCGGTTCCCCTGCGCTTGCAAGGCTAGAAACCGGCAGTGGGAAGCCAAGGGAAGTGAGGAAAGCCTTATGATGTGCTGACAATGCATGCCATTGCGAAACTGAGTACGCAATGAGGACGAGGCGATCGCCTTGCCAATCGAGAGTCGCATGCAGGCGATCCCTGGCATCAAGGATCACGGGTCCAGATGCCACCTCAAGACATGTGCCCATGCGCGTGACACCTTCGCAAAAGTGAAAGGAACCGTGCCTTCAGGGTCCTCACACCAAATTCCGCCGCGCTTGAATGAACTAATCGGAACAATCAGATTGGTGCAAGTCGCATTTCTCGCATCCTTATGTAGCTGTGTGGCCACATTGTTGAAGAGAGCACAAGACGTATAACGAAAGTCGGGTTTTACCTTGGTCAAGAAATGACATAGCACCTGTGAAGCAAGGGGAAACTTGCTGGCATTTGCGCGAAGTCCAGCGATACCTCCCAGGCTGCATGCACCAGTGAAGAAAGCCGTGCCTGAGCTCGCCTGAGAACCAGCATGGGGTGGCTCATGAGGAAGCAAGCTGAACAAGGTTTCAATGTCAGACGCCAAAATTCGGGTTTTGCGAGGAGCTCACGAGCAAATGCCTCAGCCGCATGCGGAAGCTCAGGCAGTGCCGCTGAGTCTGTGGCCAATGTTGCTTGTGCACTCGACGCCAGAGCTCGAGCAAGGAACTCACAGAAAGCTGAAGGATAGCTGAAGGCAGAGCGCCAGGCATTGCCGTCCCAACCGACAGTGTCTGAATGATCGTGAACCTGGCAAGGCTGAAGCGGACCAACGTAGTGCCCGCCTGAATCAAGCATTGGCCACGTGATTCCATGGTGATTCCAAGCTGCCAGGCGCCCGGCGACTCGCGTGGAGAATTGTGATGCCGCGCCAAAATGGCACATGTGCAAAGCGAAGCTGAAACAACCGTGCGAAACAAGATTTCTCACCTCAGGCAGCTGCCAGATACTTGCAGGATGCGAGCCCGATGACCCAATGCCCAAATCCTCAGGATGAATGAGCAGCCAGGAGCCGCCTGCTTGTGCCTGCAACGAAGCCGCCTGAAGACACTGCTTGACATGAAAATTTGCAACAGAAACTAGTTCCCTATCGGCATTGCGCAACCAAGGGAAGCCCCACGGGTAGGAAGCATCCCGCACTGGTCTTGGACCATTGCGCCCAGCGTGCCTGTTGCGAGCACGTGAGAATGTAGATGCTGGCGGAGTAAGCAAAACAATGTCCCACGACCCAGACTTGATCTCCGAGAAAAGTCCATCCCAGAAACCAGGATCACTAAGGTCCGAAGCAGGTTCGCGGGTCGCATCAAATTCGGCCATCTGCAATTCGAAGCCCTGTTTGACTGCAATGCTCGATAGCCACGCGTGCAAGTCCCCCTCATGACAAGGGCCGGAGAAAACATGAACGACCCGTAGAAGTCAGTTCGTTGATCCGCTGTCTTTCTTGTCATCCTTGATGCTCAGTTTGGCAAAGTGCTCCCAAAGTGGATGCGGTTGGTTGCAGCCTCGAACTCTGCAAACATGAACCCGCCCGCAGCCACCAGAGCAGCCTTGAGCGTTGAAAGCGAAGCAAATCTCGCGACCGTCTGCCGTATGGCTCATAAGAGAATAAGCGGACTTGTCGCCCTTCTTTCCATTGCCTTTGTCCTTGCTGCCTTTCTTGCCCCCTTTGGAGTCCTTGCCCCAACCCTTAGAATTGGGAGACCCTTTGTTGCGGATCCACTTGCTTGCCTCCCACGGTGCATCTGCTACCCACTCACGTTTGCTCCCAGCGTAATTCTGCAAGGCAATCGGCGATGTAAAGAATTGCTCCTTGATCTGAGAATCCCGAACCACAGAGAGCAATGTTTCCACCAATGGTTGTGACCCTTGATAGGCCCTCTTGATGGCCTCCTTTCGCAACTCATGCTCGTAGGTCAGCAGCACCTGCCACGGCGGGCGCACCGGAGTTTGATCGCTTCCCTTCCCCGCTTGAGAAGGGACTGGTATCTTCATGAGGTAGACCTTTTCACCCAGGAGGTAGTTCACATATTCCGCCCAAGGAGCAGGCGACATGCCCTTGAAGAACGCCTTGTTGCGGAAACGGCCCGCCATGAAGCAGTAAGTGTTGGCCTCGATGCGAAGCACTGTCCGAAGCTCTTCGGTGGTTTGGGGCATTGCCCCTCGCTGCTTCTGCTTCACAATTCGGACGGCCCCTCCTTTGTCAACAGTTGTCTGCAAACCTTGGGTACGAACTGCCTTCTTGCTTGTGACCTCATTCAAAGGCGAAGCTGTGGGCTCCACATTTTCGAACTCCTCCACCTTAGCGGCCAGGTAGTCATCGGAAGGTTCAAAGGCCTCTTCAACCGTGCCATGGGTGTTCTCGTACGCCGCTTTCATGGCTAAGCGCTCGTTCTGGAGCACCGGTCGCACTATACCCAAGAATTTTGTCTCCGCACGGAGCTCGGCTTCCTTGACGGCATAGTCTCGGCAAGCTTCCCATGCAGCCACAACAGCAGCCACCGCCGCCCTGTTATTCATGTCTGTGGCCTCTAAGCCGATGTCTGCACGCAACGCAGTACGAACCCCAGGCCGATCATCAGCATAAGCCGCGAACCTCCTCACATTCTTGAAAGCCTGCGTAATTCTGTACTGTACTGGCAAAGGGACACCCGCATCCTGCAAAATGTGCGCCAGGTCGGCACTCACCTCTGTCGAGATGTAAGTAAGCGCCGCACCCTCATTAACGCCTGCAGGAAAATCCATGATTGCGCATGCGGAACACTATCCCCCTCGACACTCGCAACTCGCTCGAGAAATAGAAGAACATTCACTCAAAGTCCCAGCGAAATTCAAACACATGCATGAGCAGCACTCGAAAGGAGACGATGAATGGGCAGCCTCTGTTCTTCGGCTCTCACCCCCTTTTGCAATCTCTGGCTCGCATCTTAACTCAATCACCCTCTTGATCTGCGGGTGGCTCCACACTATCTGAACCCGAACTACTGGATGCTGGCCGATTCTGATCTGTCGGCCGGCACCTCTTGCACACTGCATCTGCAACTGAATCTGTAACTTCGAATATGGGAATTGTCTCCCTGCAGCGTTCCTGACGAACGGCACACGAATGGCTCGTATGGAGCCTTCTGAATCCTGACCTCGAAACTGTGACAAAATAGGGAGCGGCCACCGCCAGCTCAATCGTAGTTTCTGGAAGCTTTGCCCCAGGATCCCCTTTGGCCTGTTCCAGAATCCCAGGTGACATGCTGATCAAGGGGAAAGTTCCCCCCAGGGCCCACGAGCCCCTCTCATCATCCCACTCCAAGCACTTCAGTTGACGCTTAAGTTGCAGCGGTGGGCCTCCTCGCTTGGCATAATAGTCCTGAATCTCATTCAAGCTCTCTTCTTCAACGATTCCCGGAGCAGGCAATCCCTCGAGGATGGCTCGACAAGTCGTTGACTGTACATGATGCACAACTTGACGCGATGTAAGCACGTAGTCCTGACTGCCATGCTTAGCTGCAGACCATCTTCCCAGGTAATCTCGAGGCTCCTTGCCCACACCTGCCGCAGCCGCCAAACTAGGCAGTGTGTGCCTGCCCGAATGTCCTGTGAAGTAAGGCACAACAGCTTCAGGAAGCATCCGCGAATCCCGGCTATATGTCCACTTGCCTGACTTCTTGACTGGCATAGGCAGCTCCTGCAGTAACTTGCGTATGTTAAGAGCAACCTCCTCATTGTCGATGAACCCTTGGCTAGCAGTGTCCCTGTCCCCGCAGAAACGAACACACAGGAAGTCCCGTTCAAACTTGAGGGCCTCCGAATTCAGCAAGCGGTAGCCGTGACCGATCCAGTCGAATCCAGATAAGCTGATGCCCCGCATGACAAATGCCTGTAGCCTGCCGACATGCTTCCCGGCACCTGATGTCTTCGTCCTGTCCAAAGTCATTTTAAGCCCAAGCTGTGACAGTGTTATGCTCGCCGGGTTGATATTCTGAAGATCATCCACGCGCAAAGTGGCCCACACCTGGAGGAGGATAATGAAAGCATAAAATCTGCTCCACGTATCAGCTGAAGTGTTGCAAACCAAAAGTTCGCACGCCAGCAGCACAATCACCGGAAACATGGGTGCTTGCTTAACTGGCGCTGAGTCTTGCTCCAATTCAACCTTCCAGGAACGAACGCCCTCAATGAGCAACGTGTCCTCACTCAAGCGATCGGTGACATCAACCTGGCCAACCTGTTCCAGTAGGCCCAGTGAAGAAAGAATTCCCCCCGGGACAGTTTTGCCCAATGGTGAAATTTCATGCCTCTCTTCCAAATACTGTAGCACAACCTCTGCAGACTGAGGCCAACACACCGAGTACGTAGCCTGTAGCCACTCTACCAGCTTGCGCCAGACCACTGCACGATTCTTTAAAGTCTTTGCTCGACGGGAGCCAAAAGCACGAACCCAGGCTGCCTCAGGATTGCTCATAGCATCAATACGCGATGCTGCTGGAAGGCCTGCCTCTCGGATGACCTTGGCTAATTCCAAGATCCACCTCCTGCGACTGATCTCTTCCCTCGCCTGGCGACTAGTGTCTGTTCCCAATCGCCTCTGCCGCAACGCTTGCTCCAAGATGCGCACTCCAACTTGTGGATTCTTAGAAACCAAGGATTCAAACTCGGCACCGATATCATTCCTCGGCACAGTCACCCGAGTAGCCAGCATCTTCACAGATCCAGCACGAAAGGTGACCTCACGCTTAACCTTCGGTTCAACTTCTGTGCTCCAACGAAGAAGCTTGCTAGCAATCCTGCGCCTCTTCTCTGGAGGGTATTGTCCTTGTAATGCATCCTCCACCAAATCAGTGGTACTCCCTTCATCAAAACACGCAAGTGCAAGATTGCAAGGGTCACTGAAGGCTTTCTGCAATCTGCTGCACAGAGTGTGATCAATTTCACTGACACACTCCCACTCAAGAGCCATCGAGTGGCCTTTCTGGAGCCGAGGCTCACACGACCATCGCGCCAACGGTCCCCCAGCCCCTACTCTACACGAAAAGCTACAGCTCCTTGAGAGTACTGCATCGGAATGAAGACGACATTCGCAAGCCATCAAGAGTCTTGCCAGGCTGATTCCAAACTCATCTCGCAAAAGAAGAAAGTCTCAGAAAATCTTCGTGAAAATTCTCATGTCAAGAAAAACCCATCGCCGACAGCAGAGCATTCAGAAAGTCCCACCCAGGCCCGCCCCCCGGCACAAACCCCATCAGACATACTCTAGGTCCGGGGACCGAATAGCATGGCCCTAACATCTTCATACCAAGCAGTGTTCTCATCTCCCGACCCTAAAAGGGAAAGGGAAGGGGCCTGCTCATCTGGCTCGCAGAGGGATGCTAAGTGGGCCTCGAAGTGACTAGGGTTAAACCCTACGGGAGGGGAAGGTGGAAACTCGTGAGTTGGCTGCTGAACTTCGATTTCAGAGACAGGCGCTGTGAAGTCATCGGTAAACCCTTCGAAGTCACCAGTAAATCCTACAAACCCCCAGTTATCCGCAGAAGCAGATGCAGGAGATGGATTGGCAGGAAAGGCATCCCCAAGATCTGGCACGGGTGCAAACGGAAGCTCAGGAGGCCCAAAAGTGGCTTGCCCCGGAGGCAAGGCACCGTCGAGCTGCTCGCGGGTGACTCCAGCAAGTTGCTGCAAGATGCTGGCACTAAAGGCATTCATGAATTAATCTGAGGCAGACTGCACGCTGGGCTCAAGAAATGCCCTGCAGGCAGCCCTCAAGCCCTGAATGATCCCCTCGAGCCACGAGAGGCGTTGGTGGTGGCCGGTCTGGTTCACCCAGGCACGAGCAAGGGACTCCTCCAAAGCTCGCAAATCGGACCTGAGAGTTTGGATTTCAGCCCGGAGGGCGTTGACCTCCAACTGGAGATCGTAAATGTGCTGACTATGGAGCTCGCGGGTGCTGGTAGAGCTGTCCTCAGAACGACCTGAAGAGCCGGCGGCGAGAGCGTCGCCGAAGTCCATGGGACGCCTCGACGAGAGAAAAATTTCTGCAACCTTACATGTGCAAGACTTGTGGCTTGTTCAGTGAAGTTCTAGCATAGTGTCGTCACTGACGTTTATGCACAACCGGCTTCGAGATGCCTTGAGATGACGAGCGCGGGTGACAAGAAGATGCAATATAGCACCACTTGGCGCTCACACCAACAGAAAACTCTTGGCAGCCATTTTCTTTAAAAATCCAGGCCCGATTTTTTAAGAAAATTCAAGCTCAAGATTAAGGGACTACCAGCGCACGCCTCCTTCCTGCCAGGGCACGAGGGAGCGAACCCTTGAGTCCTGCAAGCTCATCGAGAAGCAGCCACCACCAAATCTCGGGTCGAGCGAGCTCAGACCAGGAAAGGTCGAAAACGTCGTTCAGGCAGGCGCAAAACTGGGTCGCAAAGAGCCTAGGCTACAGACACTGCCAGCAAGGGCGTTAGACAGACGCGAAAGGCTTCGCTATCAGTGTAGCGCCGCAACATGAGGGCCCGGTCAGCGAAATCCACCACCCCCAAAATTCTGAGGGCTGTTTAACTTCACAAGGGGCAGTGACAAAGGGAGGGAAAGCAAGCTCAGGCAACAGGTCCACTGTGCTCAAAATCCACACTCAGGAGGAGCTGGACCGGGTGACCATCCATGCCACTGTGTGCAGCGACGGCTGTAGCATCACAGAGCGAACGCGGTCACGGACCACCGTTCAAAGAACCCGGGCAGTCTCTCTATCTGCGCCATCGGACGGGTGTGATGGAAGGAAGCATGCAGCTCTTTTGCAGCAATAATGCCCCCCATGGGAGGGAGAGGCGATGATCAAAGGGTCCCATTTTGTCAGTTTCCATTGCCCTTGCTCAGTTCTGTGACCCGGTGCTACCAGTGCCAAAATCGAGTCTTTGATCTTTCGTGGGATGAGTTGGCGTGTCCGGAGATATGGTGGTGGTTGTTATTGGACGAACTGGCTCGGAAATGAACTCCGCAAAGGAGGTGCCTTTAGCGACGACTCTGTGTGCGTGACCTGTGTCGGTGTTGGCAGGACGCGCATTGCTGAGACCAAGACCATGCTTGAGAGTTGCAAACTCTTGAGGCAGCCACAGGATCGCTTCGCTAAGGCCGACTGGTGGAGAAAGTCCACCGCAATAGCTGCTGGCGTAAGGCGACCGATGTAGACACACCCGATACCTTCCCTTGTGCCGGAATAAGAGATGATGTGTTTCAGCCCGTGGCAAAGTGCAAAAGGGCACCTTTCTGACTGTGGAAGTCGTGGAGGGGGTCGTCCGTCTGGAGAGCGGGCAAAGCACACGCGGCTCTACAGTGCAATTACCTATGTTTCGGTTCAGGGGTTGACTCTGAAGGGTTTGGCTCTACGATGTGGAGAGTCCGCACTTCACGCTCAAGCATCTGTACATGGGGATTCGGAGCTTTTGAGCCCTGTAGTGGCACTGCCAGCTCTGGTATTTGACTAATTGCGACAGTGGCCCGTTGGGATGAAATGAAGTCCGGTTTGTGGGGTGACATCGGCTCGTTTTTTGATCAAATTGAGCGGTGCCATGTGGCGGTGACCAGCTTTTTTTCGACAAAAGAGCAATTTCGGAATCCGACCTTGCTCCTAACACTCATCAAAAACTGGCCGGTGCCACAACTCTTCAGATTTGGTGAATCCTGGCACCCCAAAAACCGCGCTCAATAGCTCGAAACGGGCCGGTGTCGTAATTCATCAGATCTGATGAATGCTGAGTGCCAAGAAAACCGCACTTAATAGCTCCAAAACGGGCTGGTGTCACAACTCACGGTCACTGAATAGTTCCAAAAAACGGGCCGGTGCCGCAACTCGTCAGATTTGACGAATGCTGCAAAAAAAAGAGAATCTTTCGTTTCCCACACGCTCCGAGTGGAGGCGACAGATGCTGCAAAAAAACGGGCAGCATTCCGTTCCCCGACAGCCTCTCTTGGAAAGGGAGACAGGCCTGGTCGAAAGCGCCCTCCTTGGACGTCTCTGGTGGCTGGAGGATTCTGATAACCCCGAATTGAGCTTGAACAGTGAGGCACAACCTCTACTCACTGGGACCGCCGTGCCACAACCTGGAGCCTCTCTCCACAAGGGTGATCATCGGCTCTTGGCTCCAGCTCAGCGTGCCCCGTTAGGATAGAGAGGATAGACGGCGGCGGGCTCGGTTTTCTTTCGGCACGAACCTTACCGACCAGCATCTTTAAATGACAGGAATGACAAGAATAACAAGCTCCAGGCGGCTCGAAAAAAAAAATGATAATTAATTCGTGAACTTCACTCGAAGTCAATGTCACGAATTCCGAAGTGAAAACTTGACGAACTTCCACCTTAGGCATCGAGGCCAATTAATAATTTAATTATTTATTTTTTTTTTTCGGCCGGCCGGCTGGCTTGTCAGTCATTCTTGTCATTTCTTTTGGCTGTACCCGGAGGAAAGCAAGAAAAGCGTTTTTGTCGCTCTCTCTGGGAAGGGTGTTCCAGCACTCCACTCTGTAGCTACGAGGCTAGTTTCGAGACATAGGGTAGAATTCGATACTCGGAGGGTCTGTCGATTTTGAGGGCTGGAGGTCGTAGGATTTGCGATCTAAGAGGCTCTAAAGTGCTTGCAAAACGGGCCGCGGCATTGGAAGCAGTTTGAGAGTGCGAAGCGAGGCACTCCGTCGTGCTCGGGAGCTGTTTGGAGAGCGACACGCGCTTACGCGCGCTCTGTTGGCGCGGAGGGCGTGGAAGCAGCTGGTTTGCGGCTCGAAACTCGCTCGTGAGTTGCTGGCGAGTGCTCGTAAGTTGCTGTGTTGCAGTTCAAGAGTCGCTGAGTTGCAGTTCGAAAGCTGCCGTGTTGCGGTTCAAGAGTCGCTGAGTTGCGGTTCGAAAGCTGCCGTGTTGCGGTTCAAGAGTCGCTGGGTTGCGGCTCGAAAGCTGCTGGGTTGCGGTTCGAAAGTCGCTCGTGAGCTGCTGGCGAGTGCTCGTAAGTTGCCAGCAAGTAGCTCGTAAGCTGCTGGCGAGTGCTCGTAAGTTGTCAGCAAGTAGCTCGTAAGCTGCTGGCGAGTGCTCGTCAGCTGCTGGCGAGTTGCGCGCCCTTAAAGTTCCTCTCTAAAGCCCGTTTTGCAAAGACTTTAGAGCCCCTAAGATCGTCAGAGCTGCGGGCCGTAGGCCCGCGAATCGATAGCGCTCCAAAGTATCGAATTCTGACCTATGTCTCGAACTAAGGCTTGTAGCTATCACAGAGTGGAGTGCTGGAACACCCTCCCCAGAGAGAGTCCGAGACGCACGGAGATTGGCAGGTAGTGTGCTCTACGGACCCACGGGATGGCTAGAGGCAGCTTTTTTTTTTTGAAGAGGAGTAGGGCGCAGCTTTGTCGGCCTTCTGGTCAGCCGATTGAGTGTTCGGTCAGGAGGGACGCGACGTGCCCCGATTGAGGAGGGTAGCGATGCCATAAGCTCGATCTTTGGCTTCCAGGAGCTGCCGATCAGCGAGGCCCTGCCCTTCGCCCAAATCCCAGCAGTCCCTCGCGATTACGAACCAGCCGTGCCGGTTATCGCCCGATATGCTGTGTGTGTGGCTGTGTACTGACCCCGCTGTCGTGCATTGCCACACCTTGTAGCTCTTCACGGACACCGACTCACTGGAGGAGTATGACCACACACGCCACACTCTGCCTCATATTCTTACCCGTTGC